TGGCTTCCCTCTAAAGGCACAAAACAGGGGGTACCCTCAAAAAAAGACACACCCATACGGTTGATTTTCAGGGTGTCGCAAGTGACACACACACACACACACCTAAGCTTCTGGACGCAAGGTGGCATAAGAAGTACTAGTAGTACTAGCAATTAGTCTACTCCTATGCTTAGGTCTAAGTTTGCTTTTGACATCCCTACACCCTCATTCTAGTTATTTGGGCCCTGGTCTCTTTTTCAGTTTCAGGACGGGAGGGAGCCGCTGTTGCCGGCTCGGGGTTGACGAGTCAGTCAAAAGGTCATTTTAGGGGGCTCTCCCCATTTCGCTATTTTTCTGTGTGGATAAAAGGAAGATCATGTCGAGGGGGAGCCGAGGAACCCTCACGTTTCCCGGGTGGGGATCTTGAACTCGTGACAGAATTTGGAAGCTTGTTCTTTTGTTTTTGTTTTGTGATGTTCATCAGGTACCCCGAATTGGTGGTTGGGATTGGTGCGTTGGGGATTTGAAGCCCTGGTTCTTTCCGAGGGTAAATGGGAAGCATCCCTAAACACCAATCCAAACCACCAATTGCGAAGAAAACATTCTCCCCGGCCCCCTTTGGCACCCAAGGTCTTCCAGTTGGCGGTCGTTCTTCTCCCTTTTGTAGTTGTCTCTTGCTTTTACTTTTCCCCCCCCAAATTGGTGGTTGTGGGGGTAACTTCTTGGTACGTGGAATAGGGGTTCGAATCCCACCAATGTTGATCGCGGATGAAGACTGTAAATCCGTCCTACTTTTGGGGGTGTTGGGGGGCACCCCTCTCAATCAACCAGGGTTCCTACTTAGACTGGCTAAAGTCGATTTGGCTTTTGGTCACAAACAGGGTAACCCCAAAACGGAATCCTCGTACATGGAAACGTGGACTGAAGCCTGTGGTTCTCCTGCTGGATAAGTTTGACCCATTAAAGGGCAGGCGATTTGCACATTTGTGTGTGGGTCAAAGATAGGTCCACAAAATAAACCCTGGTAAATAGAAGCATGGACTAAAACCTGCGGGCCCCTGCTGGATAAGTTTGACCCATGTTTCACTTACTCTCAATCAACCAGGAAGTTCCACTTAGACCCGGGGTGCCCATCAAAGGGCCAGGCGATCTGCACATGTGACGTCCGACTCGATGGATCTCGGCCTCGATGGATCTCGGCCTCGAGGCCTTGGTGGAGGCGGTCTGCGATTGCATGGGGGACCAGCGGAGCATGCAGCAGTCTGTGCGCTTCGAGGCGCGTTTGAAAACTGGTGGTTGGTCGACAGGCCCAAATGTATGCTTTGTTTGTGCTTTTTGGGGCCAAAAGTGTTTTTTCCTCCCGTTTTCTCCATGTTTTGAGGGCCCCCCCAAAAAATGGCATCGGTTTTCATTGTGGTTCCCCTTGCAGACCACAAAAAAGGTGCACCTTCAAACCCAAAGCCACGACCAACCGAGCTCTGGGGTGGTTCGGTCCGGGGCCGTTGGATCCTTGGATCTCGACCCCTAATAAAGAAACCGGGGGGCAGACAGGGGTCAAAAGACTGAGGGTTTCTGGGGGCGATTTCAGAAAATTTTTGGGTTTTGTCTTGACTTCCCTTGAACCCACCACTTCCGGGGTGAAATTAGGCCAGAGAAAGCGAGGGCTCGGCGCATGTCTCTGAAGTCCCCAGGTTAAATACACCTGTCCCTATGGGGGGTGTTGCCTCAAGTGAGCCCCCACTAAACCAAGACACAGCTGCTGGTCAACCCGGAAATTCTACTTAGATCCGGGGTTCCCATTCCTTCCTCTATGGTGAGTCGGGGAACTTGCCATTGATCGCAACATCCTCAGCCGGCCATCCGATGTCGCTTTGGCTTGCAATGGCCAAAGGCGTTGCAAGCCATTGGGCGTCATACTGAACTGGACTCGACGAATCCACCTCGCGCCACTAGAGGTTTCTAGCGAGTTTCAAGATGGGTTTCATCCGCTGTTGTCTGCCTAATGTTGACCCAGGATGAATAAACCCGTCCCACTATTAGGGGGGGTGTTCCCTCCAAAAGTGATGAACCCCCACTAAAAGGGGACACCCCCTTATTAATTAACCAGAGTTTATTAATCCGGGGTTAACATTAAGCGTGTATCTGGGGCATCCGGAAAGGCTCGGACGAAATTACTGGGATGCCTTTACCGGCAAGCTCCAGGTTTTACATGGGAACCCCGCTTCCTCAGTTTCAACTCGCAAAGGGATTCGTGTCCTTGCAGCTCATATTCCAAAAGGCCTTACCCGGGTTCTGTGGCCGAAACCCTCGCCGAGTCATTGTCACTCACCTGGAGTGATTGCGATTTGGGTTCAAGTTCCAAAGCAAGTGCGAGAACGCTATGCCCTTAGCTTTGCAGGTTTTTAGGGTTGAGTGGTTGGGTTTCCATTTGACCCACAAGTTGCACTTTCGGCAGGGGATCAGAAAACGGACAGCCCAGTTTGTGTATTCAGGCAACGATCAGCAATTGTCTCGGCTTGACCGAGCAAATCAACCCACAAAGGAGCTGCAATCCCTTTCTCTAATTCTCAGAAGGACCCGAGCAACTGCGAAGTTGGAACATGAGTTTCCTCTAGAAGGGCTTGTTTCCCTGTCAGGCGGTTCTGTGGAGGGACAAGCCCAATTCAGTCCATGTGGGATGGATGAGCCACCAATCCTGGCCGGTGGGGTTTGTAATCATCCACAGCATGGCAACTTGGGAGGGTGCTAATTCTCCATGAGGTTCAGTCGAACTGTCTAGTTTATTGGAGCTATACGGAGCACGAGCCCGAACTTTCCCAACAAAGACTAGGGCGAGCTCTAAATTGCCCAACAACAGAGGCTCTAAATCTCACAAACACCAGGGACCGACCGAACAAACAACAAACTGGATTCCCCATGCCCTTTAGGGGACACCTCCGGATTTTTCTTTCGCTTCGGCTCCATTCTCCAGGCATCCTGGGGCCTGGAAAAGTTGCACTTGTGGCACACTGCCCGGGCGCCCACCCTCGATGGGTAGAATTCCTGTCTGCAAAACTACCCTCCATTCTAGGAGAGGCATCAATAACGCAGGGGAAACAGCTGGTTTTTGAAAAGAACGATGGTCGAAAGGAATGGAACAGGAATCAACCCCTAGATCCATTGCCATGGCACCGTGACAGCGGATGAGTTCAGGTGGAAATTTCAGGTACCTCCCGCTAACACTGGCCATGGCAATGTCGGAAGGGTATTGGTTTTGGAGGGAGACCAAAAGGAGACGAGCTAGAGAAGTTCCTAATCTTGAGACACAACTATTTCATACTTAGGGTAGACGACTTAGATTAGGGGATTTTTTACCCTAAAATATGGTTGCCCTTGGGTTTCCCAAGCCGTGTCTCAAAATTGGGATATGTATATATGTATATATGTGAACCTACAAAACGAATTGACTTTCCTTTTGGGCTTCCCTCGAAGCCAACCTGAAAAGGGTGCCTGCAACAAAAGTCACGACCCAGACTGCTTTTTATGTTGGGGTAGACTACCTGTACATAGGTGTCCTTTTTGGTTGGTTTGCTTAAAGAATAGAGGGCCCTGGTTCAGATGGGGTTTATTCCATTTACCAGGGCCATCTATGTTTCCAAAAGGCCACCTAGGTGTACCTCCCATGTGGGCCGAGAAATGAGCTGGCTGTCCGAAAGAAAAAGGGGTTCTAAAGATGCGGGCTTTTTTGACCCGGATTCATCCGTCCCATTTCCATTATTCTGAATTTGCCGCTGCGTCCTATCTTAAAGGGAAACCAGGAATTCCATTTTTTGGCGGGACAGCCAAGCCCGCAGATGCTTGTTTTCCAAGGGGGCATGTTTGTTTGTATTATTCAAGACATCTTACGGTGGATATCCTAAATATTTCAAGGGAACAAGGACCCCCCGCAGAAACAATACGTGATGTACCATGGTTGCGTCCTTTTGCGTGTTTGATTTACTTGCAATACTCTTGATGGACAAAAGCCTGCACCAGTTGATAAGTATGACTTCCCAGCGTTTATTGGGTTTTATCCATCCCAACTGGTGCAGGAATTTGTGGTACTTATCTAGCTGTCCCTTCCCACTCTCTTCAGGGGTCCTTCTCTTCAAACGGGCCAAATTTCTGGGGGGAATGGGTGGCCTGTTTATTGAGAACGATGGGTGGGGGATCAACCGGAATGGTTGGTTTCCTTTTGGTTTCCCTCTACCATCAAACAGCAGATTACCAGCTCACAAAACTACACACCCATATTTCCATATACCCCCCCTCCAACTAACAGAGCACCAGACGCCAATCTTCCAGGTACCCTCCCAGAGGTGAAATGTTAGTAGTGGAAGGGAGGGTATATATATGTATAGATAGATATGTATATATATATACATACATATATATATATATACACATACATACATACATACATACATGCATGCATACATACATACATACATACATACATACATACATACATACATACATACATACATACATACATACATATACATACATATACATATACATATACATATACATATACATATACATATACATATACATATACATATACATATACATATAAATATACATATACATATACATACATACATACATACATACATACATACATACATACATACATACATACACATATACATATACATACACATACACATACA